GGACTAGAATGCATAGTGAAGAAATGCCACTTCCTAAATAGCCACCAAACCTGTAAAGTATTCAGAACTAAGGCTGCTGTAAACCCCTTCTCTTCCCCCAACCACGCCAAAGCCACCAAGATTTTTTCTAAGTACATCTATAGTTTGAGTAATTTAGATGTATTCCATGCTATCATGGACAAGTGTGATGCAGTATAATATTTTACCTTACCTGGATATAGTCTAAGAACAGATATGGATCAATAGCTGAAACATAAGACAAGTCTTTATCTTCTTTTGGATCAAAGTAATGTTAGCCTAAGTGAACTGTGATAAGATGAAAAGTACTGAATGTGTCAATCATATGTTGTCCCAGGAAAAAGGTCTTAAAGTATTGAATGGGGAGCCCACCTGGGCCAGTCACTTGGCCATTTTTTGAAGTTTTTTTGTGCGAGGTCCAACTCTTTCAAAGTCATTGGATCATCCAGGGCCTCCACTGTATCCCCTTTAAGCTTCAATTGGCGGTACTGCTGCATAGGTCCTTAAGCACACAGTCCTGATGTTGTACAACAGAGTTCTGGTCATACTGACCTTGATAGTACTCTCTGAATGCTGAAGCTATGTCCCAGGTTAAAGGCACATCTTCCCAGCCTGAGTCTTAGCTTTAGGAATATATAAATTTTGTTTGAGGAGTCTGACCAATTGTCTACCATCCATTTCCATGTTCATATACAATGATCAGCCATAACATTAAAACTACATGGCTGACATCATGTAGTTCCCTCCCATGCTGCCAAAATTGCTTTGGTGCATCGAGGCATGGACACCACAAGATCACTGAACATGTCCTGAGGTATCTGGCACCAAGATATTTGCAGCAGATCCTTTAAATCCTGCAAGTTATGTTGTGGGTCCTCCATCAGACTAGAAGCCAAGACTACACCTTGAACTCTTTTTCATGTTCCTTAAACCATTCCTGAACAATTACTCCAATGTTGCAGGGTGCAATATCCTGCTGAAAGAGGTCAATGCCACTAGAGAACACCATTGCTATGAAGGGTTGTATGTGGTCTGCACTAATCTTTAGGTAGGTGGTACATATCAAAGTAACATCCACAAGAATGCCAGGACCCAAGGTTTCCCAGCAGAACATTGCCCAGAGAATAATACTGCCTCCACCAGACTGCTTCTTCCCTTTGTGGATCCTGCTGCCATCTCTTCCCCAGGTAAATGGCGCACATGCACCAAGTTATCCATATGATCTAAAATTGTCAGGTATAGCATGGCATGTATTTCGTCGCCGGAACCCACTTCCGGGTTCACGGCGCTCAGCCCCGCCCTTTTTTCTGACGCGGTCCCTCCACGATACTTAGGAAGACCGCGCCAGATTCAAAGGGCTGGATTATTCGCACAGGTGCTGCAGAAAGATCAGCTGCTCTACTTTTGATCCTACCTGCTCCACCTCTAGACCTCGGCTAGTAAAACGGATTTCTACCTTCTCCACTTCTCGACCTCGGCTTGTAAACGGATTTCTACCTTCTCCACTCCTAGACCTCGGCTTGTAACACTGAATTCTACCTTCTCCACTCCCAG